ACCCTCTTTTAGACCAGGGGGAGGGAAGGAATCTGGGCACCCCTTCCCATCCTCAAACCAGGCCTGTGGGTGCTGGGCATCCTCCTCCATAAGGAAGGAGCTTTGGGATAAAACAAGACAGAACAAAAATTTCAAGTATTATTGCGCCACGTGGAGATGCTGTCATTAATACTGAATGTGAATTACTTAATAGTTTTAGAATGGCTCTAATCCCAAACATGATTGCTACTTGTAACAGATTGCAGTTAAAAATAGTTTGTTCTGTAATTATTCCCACACAGCAGGGTTAATTGCTGCACCTACCAGAGAAAATTCCTAGAGATCTAGAACAATTGTTGAGGAAGGGATGCCTCAGCAGTGCCTGCAGTATTGTTCAAGATGAGACCCCCTTAGGAGCATTTATTTTTTTATATTGTCTTAGGGTTTTCCCTGTCCTTAAAGCTCATCTCTTTCTTTTCTTACATCATTGTTCATTTTTTTTTAGTTACTGGTTTCTCCCCTCAGGGGTGGTCCCCATAGTGCTCCCACCAAAATAGCACCTGTGACCCATCACCATAATCCCTTGTGCTCTTCCCTCCCCTTTGTTGATCCCCCTCCATTCCCCTCCCCGCTGGATGCCTCAGATCTTGGTCAGCCTGTTAGGTTTGTCTTTTTCTTTACCTTTTGTTCAGTTTCTCTATATTTTGCACATAAGTGAAACCATCTGATATTTATCTTTCTCCTGGCTTATTGTGGCTAGCAAAATCCCTTCCAGCTCCATCTATATTGCCACAAGTGGCATGAATTTGTCTTTTTTGATTGCTGAGCAATATTCCGTTGTGTAACTATACCACAACATTTTGATCCATTCATCTATTTTGTGGCATTTGAGTTGTTTCCATATCACGGCTATTATAAATAGTGCTGCAGTAAACATAGGAGTTCAGGTTTCCTGTTTGTTTTTATTTTTTGTCCTTTGGGTAGATTCCTAGGAGTGGAATCACTGGATCATATGTAGACCCATTTTCAGTGTTTCTGAGGAACCTCCACACAGCTGCCCATAGTGGACCAGTTTGCATACCCACCAGTGGTGTCAGAGGCTTCTTTGTCTCCACCCCTTCTCCAGCATTTGTTGTTGCCATTTTTTTTAAAAATGTGGAGCATTCTCACTGTAGTGAGGTGGTTATCTCATTGTGGTTTTGATTTGCATTTCCCTGATATTAGTGACGCTGAACTTTTTTTCTGTGCCTGTTGGCCAATTGCATTTCTTCTTTGGCAAAGTGTCTTTTTACTTCTGCCCATTTTTTTGACTGGATTGTTTGTTTTTGTTGAGTCGTGTAAGCTCTTTGTAGATTTTTGATATCAGTCCCTTATCTGTCATACAGTGTGCCGATATTTTCTCCCATTCAGCAGGTGTCTTTATGTTGATGACTGTCTCTTGCTGTTCTAAAGATATTTAGGTTGATGTAACCCCAACTGTTTACATTCTCCCTGGTTTTCCTTGCTTCTGGAAAAGAATCCTCAAAGATATTTCTGAGGAGTGTGTCATTGAGTTTTTGACTATGTTCCCTTCCGTATATTCTATAGTGCCAGGTTTCACTTTCAAGTCTTTCATCCAGCTGAGTTGGTTTGTGTATGGTGTGAGATAGTGGTCTAGTTCCATTCTTTTGCATGTTGCAATCCAGTTTCCCCAGCATCATTTATTGAAGAGGCTATTTTTGTTTCAATGTATATTCTTTGCAGCTGTGTCATAGGTTAGTTCACCATTGGTCTCTGTGTCTATTGTTGTTCCAATATGTTTTCATTATAATAGCTTTGTAGTATTTGATGTCAGGGAGTGTAATACCTCCTCCCCCCCCCTTAGTCAGAATAACTTTGCTACTAGAGGTTTTTGTGATCCCATATGAATTTGAACCGTATTGGTTCCATTTCATTGAAGAACGCCATTTTAATTTGTATTGTAATTGCACTGAATTTGTAAATTGCATACAAATAGGAAGACACATCTAAGTATGTTACTTTTTTCCCGGTATGGAACATTCATAAAACAGAGTGTTAATAAAAAATGTAGGTGTTATTTTCTATAATTTCTAAAACAGTCTGTTCTGTAGAGATGAAGAAAGACTGTTTCAGATTGAAAGGCAAAGGCATTTTATCATATAAATAGATGACAAGTTATTGATAGTATAATATCAGGATATTCTTCCACCTTTCTGCTGATGGAACACTAAGTAAGATTGTCCTTTTGTCATCTGCTTCATGGTGCCACCAGAGAAAACGTTGCACTGAAGTGACTTAATTGCAGGAAAGTGCCAATATGCTTTATAAAGGAATCAAGGAGCAGAATTAAGTCAGGAAATTCAAAACGTGAAGCTAGAATGCAAACTCCTCGCCCCGCCCCAAGCCCCGCCCTTTCCCGCTTCTCCTTGCCCTCGCACCCCGCCCCAAGTCCCTACTGCTGCTGCACCGCAGCCCCGCCCACCACAGCTCCTACCTCTCCTCTACCCACCTGCACCGAGGCGGTGCAGAGCGCGGGAGCCAGGGAGCAACGCGTCCCGCCGCCATCCTCGGACAGAGATTGGGCAGCCGTCAGGGTCGGCCGCGGTCTCCACCTGGTCTCCCCCGCCGGACCCCTCGCCCTGCCTGGCTTTTCTAGTCGCTCCGCGGGGAGCGGGAAGGCAGGGCGGGCCCGCGCGGCTCACAGGGCTTGGGAAACCGCCTTTGAGGTTCAAGCGCACGTGAGCAGGGAGGTAACCTCAAGGACAGGCGCACCCCTGTTTCGGCAAATGCCCGGGCGAGCCCACCGCCCTGGGCGCGGTCAGCCGGGAGCCCCGCCCAGCCAGCGGCGGTTAGGAAAGAGGCCGGGTGCGCTCAGCGGGGCGTGGCGAGGGGAGGGGGTGCCGGGGCGAGGCGGCGAGGGGGTGGGGGGACCCAGCGAGGGGCGGCCGAGGCCCAGGAGGCTGCCAGGCACATGCTCGCCCTCGACGGCCCGGCGCAGCCACGACGGCCCCCGCGGCGGCGAACAGACGGGGCGCGGGTGGATGGGGGGGGGTGGGGGGGGCGCCTCCTGGCCGCAGCGGTGTGGGGCGGGGTCTCTTGCTCCCCGACCCCCCCCCCCGCACCCGCTCGGCGTGTTCTAAAGAGGCCGAAGCCTCTGAAGGAAAACCGCTGCTCGGCCTTTCGCGGCCCCCCCGGCGCCCGCACTCGGCTGAGCCCCGCGCTGGCCAGAGGCCCCAGGGCGCCCCGTGTGCGGCGGGTTCGGGGCCGCAGGTCGCTCCTCTCCCTGCGGGCCCGGCCCCTCCCGACCCGCCCGGCCCCTGGGTCCCGGCGGCGGGGAAAGTGCACCCGGCCCGGCGCTCAGGCCGCCCTCGGCACCCCGCGGCCCAGAGCCGCCGCCGCTCCAGAGCCGGGACGGGCCGTCGGGGCGGCCGGACCCCCAGCCGCGGCCGGTGCCCCGCGAGGCTGCGCCGCGCCCGCTGGGAGCCTTGGGCCGTCCGGCCGCGCCTGTGCGCTGGGCCCGGGGAGCCCGGCTCGGGGAGCCGCTCTCGCCCGCTGCGCCCGGGACTGCGCGGCCTTGCGGGGCTCGCGTCCGTCCTGGGAGCTGGAGTGTGGGGTCGGCCCCCGCGCCGGGCCACAGCCGGCTGGACCCCACGGGCTGCTGCGGCCCCCACGCTCCAAGCCCCGCCCCCCAGCCACGCCCCAGCCACGCCCACCACATCGCAGCCCCGCCCCCTCCTGCCGCTCATCACCCGTGAAGCCCGCCCGTGGCTCGACTGCAGCCCCGCCCACCAGAGTACAGCCCCACCCCCCCAGTCCCACCCCCTAGCCCCGCCGCGGCTCGACCGCAGCCCCGCCCACAACAGCTCAGCCACGCCCCCCCCACGAGCCCGGCTGTGCATCCCGCGGGGCCAGCCGCGGACCGAGGGGGGGTGCAAGTCCTTCCTCGCGGGGAAGTGGCGCCCGTCGCCCTCCTTCCGACCAGCGCAGGAAACAATTGACTGCCTGTGTCGGGCGTGGATGCTGGGTGAGGCAGAATGCAGGACCCGTGCTTGGGCGGTGGGCGGGCGCCCCGGGGATGCGCGCCTCCCTGCGGCCTCGAGGGCAGCGCGGGGACCCCGGGAATGGGGCAGGGACCCCCAGGGTCTCCCGCTGCATCTGGGGCGGGTGCTGCATGTGCGGGCTCCCATGGGTGGACGCGGTTGGTCCCCGTGCGCGCTGGCACCGCCGCCCGCCTCCCGGCCAGGAAGACCCCGCCCCGCATCCCCAGTGTTCCGGTAGGGGATTCCACTGCCCGTCCGTGGGAAGGGCAGTGGCCTGGAGGAGGCGCATCCCTGACCTCACGCCTCCTCCCCAGGGGAGCCGAGTCACAGAGCGTGGGGTATCGGCCCCCCAATGCATTTGGCCCCCAGGCCCCACCCCTCCCTTGTCTAGCGATGACTGCCCGCAAGTGGGCACTGAGCACTTTGCAGGGAGAGAACAAGGAGGGGTGGGCCTGCACTCCCAGCCACCCGCTGTGGCCATGGTGCTCGAGGGACTGGCCATCACCCCCTCGAATATCTACAAAAGGGACAGCAGAGCTGGAGTGTCCTGCATTCCTCAGGGCAGGGCTCAGCTTGGAGTCCATGTGCTGAGCCCCACAATGCAGACCCTGAGGGGCAGGAGAGAGGCACAGCACACCACACACCAGGGCTTCACCCCAGGCTGCAGGGGCAAGAGCGTGGAGAGGCCCCAGAAGGAGGGAGCAGGGTGTCCGCAGAGGCAAGGGCGCTTTCAAGAGAAAAGGCCACACTTCCCTCTGGACAGGGACTTCCCTCCCCGGGAGTCTCAAGTCCTGGATTGCTCTCCCTGGGCCCAAGAATCGATTCTCCAGTTACCTACTTAGTCTGATTCCAGATAGACACGTTGCCAGAGGTTGCACTTGTGTGGAGGCCTGGGTGACAATGAGTTCTCCATGGCCCTCCTGATCACCTCTGCTTTCAAGGACCAATGAGGTACATGACCTGGATCAGATTTGTATGGAGACAAAATTTACTGGAGCAAAGGCAACAAGACAAAACAGACAAAACCATGGAGGCGATTGATGGCCATGCCACTCAAGTACCTGTTTGTCCTCATCTCGTCTTGAGAGTGGAGGATTATTTAGATGGTTTCTGACCTCACTAGGCTCTTGGGGAGTGGACCGGTCATTAGACTACCTCTGAAGCGCCTACCCCCAACCCCAGAGGAAGTTCAGAATGTGTGGTGCCTGCATTTGTCCTCTGTGGCTGCTGAGATGTGATTCACTGATAATGAACTACTCACCCTTCTACAGACACAGGGCTTCTCCCCTGTGTGTCCTCTGGTGTCTGATGAGGTGTGACTTACGGCTGAAGCCTCGCCCACACTCCCTGCAGACACAGGGCTTCTCCCCTGTGTGTGTCCTCTGGTGTCTGATGAGGTATGACTTATGGCTAAAGGCTCGCCCACACTCCCTGCAGACAAAGGGCTTCTCCCCTGTGTGTGTCCTCTGGTGTGTGATGAGGGTAGATTTATCACTGAAGCTTCTCCCACACTCCTCGCAAACATAGGGCTTCTCCCCTGTGTGTGTCCTCTGGTGTGTGATGAGGTGTGACTTACGACCAAAGCCTCGCCCACACTCCCTGCAGACATAGGGCTTCTCCCCTGCCTGTGTCCTCTGGTGTGTGCTGAGGTGTGACTGCTCATGGACACCTTGCCCACTCCCTCTATACTCGCCTGTTGCAGTTATTGACAATCCTACCCCAGTGAATAATTTGCCTGTGTCCTTTGGATTCTCTTTCTGGCCTGGGCTTGGCTCTTCCTCCATCACTCTCTCATGCTCCCTAGAGCTCCAGTTTTGCCTTGTTGGCAGATTGGAAAAGGCCTTTGAAACGTTCTTCTGCCTTATCCTTTTAAGCAAAGGTTTGGGACTTTCTTTGACATCTTGGCTTTCAAGTTTGTCATTCCCGCTGTGGGGACCAGAATGTGCCAGCTGCTGATGCTGATGACCAGGGCAGGGATCCTCTGATGGGAAGTGTTTGCTCACAGATGTTGCTGGGAAGGTCTGGGTGGGATGATGGTGTTGCACATGTTGGTTGAGGAATTTCTCAGTGGAGAAGGCCAGCGAGCAGGAGGGACATGGGTGGATCCCTGGCTTTGGTTCTGCTGAAAGAAGAAGTGTTTGCTGAGATTCTTGTTGACCGGGTCACCTGGGCCCTAGGCCTGGTCTCCCGAAGAGCCCCCGGTTATTCTGAAGCTTTGTCTCCTACCGAGTGTTCCTTTACAGTCTATTTTCCATTCCTCCTTTACTCACTAAATCTTCAAAATCCAGAAAGCCCCCATCGAAGGCCTTGTTTACCTATCACCCAGGCCAGGACCCTGCACCTGACATCAGACAGCTCTGCTCCTTACATGCAGGGGGCTGCGGGGACCCCCTCACACCAGCGCCCCCATGTCTCTGACACTGTGCCGCAGCTGCTTCATTCCACGGGGAAGTACCCAGCACACCAGAGCAACCGGCTGCGCCTGCAGTGGTGCCTTATGAGGGGAGAGGACCTGGGAATGCAGCAGCCGCTCAACCTGGAGCTCTATGAATGCAGACAGCCTAGCCCAGGCCCGGCCGACTGAAGGACTCACTCCTGCTGCCACATGGGTCGTGAATTGCTCCTCTTTTCCCCAAACCAGCAAATGAAAATATTCCCTTCTTCGAGCCTTACCCTTGAGATTCATATTTTATTTATTTCATTCTGTCTTAACCCATTTTAAAACACCGGAAGTCCTGTTCCGAAGTGTATGCATAGCCTTACCTCTCTGGCCTGGCCCGCCCGCCCGCCTCAGCCATCTCCATCCTCCGGCCCTCGAGGGTGAAGTGACTTGGGGGATTGCCCTGCAGTGCATTCTCCAGAAATTAACTGACTGTCATCTTAGAGCACAACATACCTCTATGCGGCTGAGAACGACCTGGTAGCTCCAGTTCGCTCTGGGAAAGCCCCAGTATCTCACCGTGGCCGGGAGCCCTGAGCCACATATGTCCTCCCAACTCCTTCCTCGGTGCTCCCCCACCTGAGCAGTGGCTCAGCCTCCCTAGACTCCCTGCCTGCCTCCTGCCTTGCCCCACTAGCTCTCCCTCTGGGAGCCTCTGCCAGTTATTGCCAAGCGGCCTTCCCGAAGTGCCACAGCCTGGACTCCAAGGCTGGCCACGACACTGGGAGCTGCTGTGGGGTTGTCACCGTCAGCACTCAGGATGGTACTGCCACAGCCAGTCTGACTCGGGCTCCAGTGCCTGCAGCGGCAGCGGGGAGCTGGGGCGAGGGCTCAGCCACAGGCAGATGACCTCAGTGAGCTTGCTGGGGGGACTGCCTGACCCACAGGTCTACCCTGTTGTGTATCTTGTGCATGGAATATAAAAAGTCAGAACAAAAAATAGAATGTAACAATTATTCCCAAGAGGCAATGGGAACCAAATTCTTAATTTCTGAAGCATCTGATGTGAAATCTTACTGACTGAATTTTACTTCGGAGCTGGCCCACCAGCTCCCTGAAAGGCTTGGGGACAGTGGCACTCACCTCTCTCAGTAGCAGGTGCCCTCTTCCACTCACTGCCCCACTTGATGCCTAGCTCCTGGCCGTACTCATCGCCATACCAGACCAGCAGCTCCTGGCCTGGCCTGACCACCTGGCAGGTGCGGTAGAATATCTGCCTGTGGTACTGAAAGGCCACCAGGTTCTGCTCCTCCTCGTCCCTGGCACAGTTCACGTACCTGGGTGGGGGCAAAGGGGAAGAAAGCCAGGAAGTAAGTCTCCAGGCATGAGAACCACATCACCTCTGTCCTGTCTATCAAGCCCCTGCTGCGATGATCCCCTGCCTCAGGGAACCTTCTGGTCATGCCTAAGTCCCCCTCACAAGGGACCTGACACCTGCCCACTTCAGTGCTGCTCACTGTGGCCCTGTGACTGCAGTGGCCCCTGCCAGGTGACCACTGGCGAAGCCCATTCCAGGCTGGCCTCCTTCTTGCTGAGCCATTAAGGCCCGAGGCTGTGCCTTCCCTGCCCTGGGTTCTGGTTCATGGCCCAGAGCGTGGTCTGCAGGGCTGCATGCTTCAGTCATCAGGCCTCTCAGCATCAGCCCCGCTGCAGCCGTCTTCAAGGGACCTTTCTCTATTCTCCCCATGCTTTATCTGAGTCCCTTTCACCCCAGGTTCTCCTGGAAACCTGGGGAGCTCTTTGTCTTAGCATCGTAACATGGAGCAACCCTAGTTTATTCTTTTTCTATGTCTCCTGATAAAAGGGGAGCCCCCGTGGAGGGAGGGTGAGCCTCTAAATACTGAGGCCACGGCCAGACTGCTGCCCACCCCAGCCTCAGAGCCCAGTGCCAGCTCACAGCCAGAGACAGAGGTCCCGATCCAGGCTGTGTGTATGCACATCTCAAGAAACAGGGAAATTATACAGTATCTCACCCATCCCTGATCGCACACAGAGCTTGTGTACATGCCAAATGCACGTAGCACTCAGGGCCCTTGTCCTCCCCACCCACCCCCAGCCCAGCCTGGAGAAGGTGAGACCTGTCACCCCATGAGTAAACAGTCCCTAGATTGTTTACTGTCTATCTGCAGTGAGCTCCCCAGGCCACAGGGTGTGTGGCCATTGGAGCACAGGCTGTGTGTGCCTCCATGCTGAGTGGGTGGGATCCCTTGTCTCTGGCCAATATAATCTCTTCCGTTTTTTCCCCAAGTGCCCACATTTTGTCTAGCACAGAGATTTATATTTTGAGGACATACAGTATCTTTTTCATCCCCCTCCCCCATGTGTCTTGAAATAAAAGAGCATTGTATGGAGAAGAGGGAGGAGCAGCGGCTTAGAGGAGACCACAGTGGGGTGTGGAAGGGAATGAAAAGGCTGTAGAGATGCTTCCTCTCTGGGACTCAGAGGCCCAGCGGTTTTACCTCATCCAGTTGGCCCAAGACTTGTCTTTTCCATCCACATACTCGTAGCAATTTCTCCCTTTAGTGATCTGTGTTTTAGGAAGAGAAATTAAGGTGCTTTTGGATAGAAGTGATTTCCTTCTACCATCACTGCTTTCGCCTGCATGGACTCGGCCTCTGCTGTGGGCACAGGTGTGCCCCTTGGTCGTCCTCTCCGCCTCTCGTCTCTCAGCAGCCCTGAAGCCAGCAATCATCCCCATCTTCCCTGCGCTCTCACCCACCCCCGATCACACACAGAGCTTGTGTTCAGGCAAAGTGCACTTAGCACTCAGGGCCCCTGTCCTCCCCACCCAGCCCTGGCCCAGCCTGGAGAAGGTGAGACCTGTCACCCCAGGAGGCGTGTGGCTCTTACCAGCCAGGAGTACCCGCTGTTGGCTGCCTCTTCATCTTCTGTGATGTGGCCCTCATAGGGGCCAAAGTGCAGGCCCAGTGGCAGGTTGGACACTTCATTCCAGACTCCCAGCCCAGCCTCCGGGATGCTTGAAGGCCCGATCCTCAGCCCAGGGGGCAGGGTGAGGGCTGAGCGGTCAGGATGCCCCTTGTCTACGTCATTGTCTTTGATGAATGTAGGGGCTCCGTGGGCATCACAGCTGTCAACGAAGAAGTTCTGACAGTTCTCACAATCTGGAGGCAAGAACAACAGAGTTGCAAGGTAGAGTATGTGCAGGCTGTGAAGCACCCCAGGGAGAACCCTGAGCCCTCACTGTGGCCTCTGTCCTGCCCTCCGTGTCTCTAAAGGAAGTGGGTGATTTGGGGCCAACTGATGAAGTGGAATCATTGGACCAAGACACAGTGGCCTTCCCTGTGAGTGGCTGGGGTGACTTACAGAGGTAGTCATCGTCCTGGGGCTCGCTGACCTCTTGGTATGTGCAGCCTTTTCTCTCTCGTAGTGAGTACATCTTCACGTCAGGCTTCTTTCTCCTCAGCTCTGAGGTGGAAAAGAGTAGGTGAGCAAGGTTGGTGCATCTGGAGTGTTTTTCTCTGTTTTGTCAGGACATGTGAAATCTTCTACCAAGTTATCTTCTGTCCATATACTCTGCCCCCCTTTAACTGTTAGTGCAGTGCAAGCAACACTCCACACTGACTTCAGGTGCTAAGTTCAATTTTAATTTCTCACTCTTCCTGTTATCAGGTTTAACTTCCAACCTCTCTACTTCCACATTGGCTTACTTGCATATTTATTCATTCAGAGAGCATCATTGAGGCCTGTCAGGCTGGGCACTGCGTGAAGGCCTGGGCACACACCAGGAAGCACCGACCCTGCATTGCAGGTGGGTTACTTGGCAGTGCCCACAAGTCGATTCTCTCATATCTTACTTAACACTTTCAAATGATTTTTTAGCTATGTATCCTTACCTCCACTCTACAGATTACTTAGGAGCTCAGAGGATTTGCAAGGGTTGCCTTGGCCCCAAAAAACTTGATAGTTAAGCTTAGCCCAACTTAAGCCCAGGCACATCCAAAGTCCACTCCACACACCTAGTTCATTCTTAACCTTCCTACTCAGAGGATGAAACCCCAATTCTTTTCTCTTACCCTGTTTTTGTCTAGAGTGCTGTCCAGAAGTACTTGCTTCTTTAGGAAGGTTCACTGGTCTCTGGGCCTCCTCTGAGCCACTGGTGTTCAGCAAAGCTGCTGTTCCTGACATTTCCTTCAAACTAGATTCTTTACTTACTGCAGCTCTGGACATTCCCTACAATGTGAGAGATACATTAAAAGACAAGGTGCAGGGCCTCCCCTGGTGGCGCAGTGGTTGAGCGCTGGGCTGCAAAGCTGCCTGCAGCCTCTGCAGTGCCAGTTGAATCCCCGGCTGCCTGCGAGGGTCCCACATGGTGCGCAGACCTCTCCTGCTGCCCGCTGCTCCCCTCAGCAGTGTATTTTATCAGTCTGCCTGTTCTGTTCCCGGCTCTGGCTCTGGTGAGTTCTCTCACCCTCCTGTGCTTCTGACTGTACCCAGTGCTTGTATAAATAAATAAATAAATAAATCTCTCTTTTTTAAAAGATTTATTTATTTATTTATACAAGCACTGGGTATAGTCAGAAGCACGGGAGGGTGAGAGGATTCACCAGAGCCAGAGCAGGGAGCAGAGCAGGCAGAAGGACTGAAGTACACACTGCTGAGGGGAGCAGCGGGCGGCAGGAGAGGTCTGTGCGCCATGTGGGACCCTCCGCCGGTGGCCGGGGAGCAGCCGGGGATTGAACCGGCGCTGCAGAGGCCGCGAGCAGCTTCACAACCCAGCGCTCAACCGCTGCGCCACCGGGGAGGCCCAATAAATAAATAAATCTTAAAAAAAAAAAGACAAGGTGCATTTCTTTAGTCAGTCAAGGCTTGTGATGTGTTCTCACGTGGATGACTTTAGTCAACACCTCAACAACCCTTGTAAATAATGAAGGCATCTGAATTCTAAAGGTAAACGAAAGGCTTACGCGGGTAATGAATTGAGGGCTGAACCCCATGTCTTAAGGCTCTTTCTCTTCCAGTTTCTCTCAGATTTCTCCATAAAAGTGAGAGTGAGGAAAGGAGAGTATGTGGGCAGACTATCTGGATGATCAACATGGTCTGTGAAAGGAGGGTAAAGCCTTAAAGAGCACACAGAACACTCCTCAGGTGTGAGGACAGAGGAGTGTCCTTTACGGTAAAATGGAAGGAGCTTGAGAGAATTAGGTGAAATAGAGCAAGTCAGAAATATAAAGACAAATATTGGGCAATGTTACTTATATGTGTAAAATAGGGAATCAAAGTGGATATACTGATGAAGTGAAATAATTAAAAATCTCTGAACATTGATAACCCAAAGGAGGTTTTTGAGGTTAAGCAGGAGCAGGAAGGGATTTAAGGGCCAAAGGGATAGGTTATAGTTTTAAAAAAAAAGGCTTATAGAGAAAAAGAGGGGGATTTTCTATAACCTAGTGGGTATTTAATGAAAGAGAAAGTATAGATAAAAGGGAACAGACATATCTGGAAAATGAAGTAACAGAGCAGTGACAGAAATAAAACCCATCTCTCTTAGGAAGAGGACAAAGAAATGATTGGCAGGAAATGCATCCAGGCAATAAAGAACATGATGCTAAAGCTTCAAGTTGCCATATCTGGGGAAGAATATTCGTGCTTAGATGAGCTGGTTCCTGTAGTCCTGTTTGAGTGAGGCCGTACTAGTGTTTAGTTCTCTTTAGTTTCCTGATCCGCAAACTGGCATATGGGGTAATTCTTAATGTCAGAGTGACATGAAATATAACCGTGTTCCCCAAAGTGTTTTGTGAGCCATCAACAGGGCATGACTGTGAGATTACAGTCCTGCTATCAGACCACCCCTAAAACCACCTGTATTTGAAATCTGCCTCGAAGATATTATCTTCAGCATTCTTTGACCCATTCTTTGACCCCCTTACTTCTAGTTGGACTTGTGAATGTGGAGTTGCTCATGCAGAAAACGTGGGGTTCCCTTGGGTGCCCTCAGCTGGGCCTGGGCCTTCTGAGAAGAATCATGTATGGACCAGCCTCTCCAAGAGCTTTCCCAGGCAGAAGGAAGGTTAACAAAGGACTCCAAACAACTTGGACTGTCCTGATTAGAGCTCCGAGAAAGCAGCTCTTACTGTCTCCAACAGAAACAAATGTTTTAAATCATTTTCATTGGAAGGTTCCTGTTGTATAGTGTGTAATCTCTACAAAGTCCTTAAGTTGTTTTCTTACTAATTGTTTCTCAACATCAAACCTGCAGCTCCTCAGGGCTGGGAGCTGCTTCCTTGCAGTAGAGTGGGGTACTCAGAGGGTGGGTCCCCTATCTCCTTCACTTGTCCACGGTACACAACATCCACTGTACAGGCTGCCCATATAGTAATCAGCTCTCATCAGTCAGAGAGATCTTTGGTTTTAGCACAGCAGAAAAAATCTGAGGCTGACAAAGGGTCAGGTGAAGACAGCCCTTGAAAGCTGACCATCGATATAAATCATCCAGAAGGAGAGGGAGGTGAGGGAGGAGATGGGGAGGGGTGAAAACGGGGTGAGGGGAGAGGAAGAGCACAGGAGAATATGGTGTGGACTTTGGGTGTTTTGGTGGTGGGAGAACTATGGTGACCATACCTGAGGGGAGATACTGTCCAAATTTTAACAACGATGTAAGAAAAAAGTGCTATATTTAAAATTTTTAAAAAAGAACTGAAGTTGAAATCATCAGTCAGATGAATGATGTTATAATACAATGTAAAATTTATAAACTGTAATGAACTCGTAAGTAGTCTAGAGAAAGAACTTTGGATTAGATTACACAACCAGTGATACTGTGATCTCAGACACAGTCAATTCTGTGCCTCAGTTTCCTCATCTACAAATGATGACAGTCATGGGATGTACCATGTAGGATTGTAGTAAAGTTAAATGAGGTTATTCATGTAAAATGCCTAAAATAAGGTCTGAAATATCATGAAAATGAAACAAGAGTTAGCTGCTTTTGTTGCTATCCTGATCATCTGCTGAATGATGATATAGTTTCTTGTATCAGACAAGGAGGTGCGCACTTCCTAGGGTTCTCTGTGCATTCTCATGCACTTACCTGTGTTCATATCCATGAGGAAGACTTGTCAACAGGATTTGGGAAATACTCACCTTCTGGCGTTTACTCTGTTTTACTCTGAAGGCCACCCGTGGATGTTTGACTAGAAAGTGATGAGAAATCAGTATTTTGGTTGGTAAATTTTTCCAAACTCTGGAAATTCTCATCAGGGACACACAAATCTGAACCAGAGAGTGACAAATACAGATGTAGAGAAGTTGGAACCCTACACACTGTGGGTGGAAATGTAAAACGGGGCAGCAACTATGGACACAGCAGGAGGTTCCTCAAAAAATTGTTCAGAACTATTGAAATAGCAGTTTGAGTAAATATTTGTAAACCCGTGGTCATTTCTGCATTATTCACAATACTCAAACCATGGAAACAACCTAAATGTCTATCAGTGGATGGCTAGAAAATGAAAATGTGGTCTATACATAAAATGGAATATTATTCAGTCTTACAAAAGAAGAAAATCCTGTCATATGCTACAATATCAATGGATCTTGTTGATATGTCATCGTGACAACTGTTCACAAAAGACAAATGCTGCTTGATTCCATTCATAGGAGCTACCTAATTAATCAAGTTCATGGAAACAGTAAATAGCATGGTGGTTACCAGGTAAAGGTTGAGGAGGAACTGGAGCTGCTGTTCAATGGGCATAGAGTTCTGGTCATGCAAGATGAAAGAGTTCTAGAGAGCCACTGGACAATAATGTGCATAGAGTTAAAATATGTACTGGGCACTTAAAAACTGTTAAGAGGATAAATTTGTTAGGTGCTTTTTTTTCTTTACACAAAGAATTTACTGGGTTATATTTATTTACTTATGCATAGAAGAATTGGGGTGTAGGCCTGAGGTGCAGGGTGGTGGTGACAGGACTCACCAGAGACAGAGTGGAGAGCAGAACAGGTGGATCTACTGAAATATACTGCTGAGGGGAGTAGCGGAGAGACTGGAGAGGTCTGCTGTACCATGTTGGTCAGCTCCCTGGCCAGGGATTGAACTCAGGCCACAGGGTGGAGGTTTTAAATGAGCCCAGATGAAGATGTATAGGTGTCTGGTAAACCATGGGGTATATATTCCCTATGGACTCTCTAAATCAAAACCTTTGGGGGACAGTCACATGTTGAGTTTTCAGATCTTACACTACTTTTAAGAGCCTAAGGTAGCAAAAATCCGTAGATGGGGAAATCCTAATCTAATTTGCTTTCTCCAGTTTATGCAGGTTGATTCCTTTAAAGTCTCCTGTCTAAACAGCACAAGAGGAAGTTAGCACCTAACTTAAATTATTTTAAAATGATTGCATTTCATTTACCCAAGGGTGTTTCTGGCCACGGATGTAGGCGAGATCAGGGAGACTTAGTAGCTCTCTCAAACACGTTCCCAAAATCAAATCAAAGAATCAGGTTCATTTTAGGGTATGAAGATCACGTGTTGTGATTTAAATATACATACATAAATTATGTATCTTTACAGACTCTGTTAATCATTTCCTCTTCTAAGACATTTAATTCAGTAGTTAAAATATGATAAGGTTAGGGGCCTCCCTGGTGCCACAAGGAGTTAAGCACCACACTGTGAAGCAATCCTCAGCCTCTGCAGCATGAGTTCGATCCCCGGCCTGCCAGGGAACAACCCACATGGCGCAGCAGACCTCTCCTGTCTTGCCCGCTGCTCCCCTCAGCAGTGTATTTCAGTCACTCTGCCTGTTCTGTTCCCCACTCTGTCTCTGGTGAATCCTGTCACCACCACCACCCCCCACATCTCTGGCCTGTACCCCAGCTCTTGTTTGCATAAATAAATCTTTAAAAAATATATAAAAAATATGATGAGATTAGTGTCAGAAAACTACAGCAATTTAAGTTTAGGGCTTCTTTAATTGTTCTTTTATTAACAACGTTTAGCAAAAATAATCTTTTACATTTTAAACTAATAGGAAAGTATGGAAAATTATCCTGGGAAACCTATACATTCAGTACCATTTAATCTGATCTCAACATTCTGCCACAATGGCTTCAGATATTTTAATTTTTATTTCCAATTAGAAAAAAAGTCAAAGAAAAACAAACCAAGAGACAACAAAGCCACCTGCCAGCCCTTTCTCTTTCTCTTACTGATGACTGTTGTTTTTTTTTTTAAGATTTATTTATTTATTTATTTATACAAGAGCGGGGTACAGGCCAGATGCCAGGGAGGGTGAGAGGATTCGCCAGAGACAGAGCAGGGAACAGAACAGGCAGACTGATTAAATACACTGCTGAGGGGAGCAGCGGCAAGACAGGAGAGGTCTGCCATGCCATGTGGGAGCCTCACCAGCCGGCGGGACCTAACCAGCGCTGCAGAGGCTGCGGGCAGCTTCACAGCATGGCGCTCAACCGCCTGTGCCACCAGGGGAGGCCCTTGATGACTGTTCTTAATTTGGTATTTACTAGCTCAGGGTTTTATACTTTATAGGCTCAGGGTTTACTGCTTAATAATGTATCTAAAAAGGATTTTAAGCCCTTTAAACCTTTGTATGAGTAGCCTCTTGCTATGTTTTGCATCTCATTTCCTGAACATTTGTGTTCTTGAGGAATCACTGTTTCCTTGGTTACCTGCTGAGATGCAGCTGAGCCCGGACCCAGGTTGGGTTCAGGGGGACACGTTACATCCTCCAGGTGCCTTCTCACCTTGCCGCCGTGGTGTCCACTCTTCGTCAGAATCCTCGCTGTCCTCTTCCTTGGGTTTGATGGCCAGCCTGCGGTGGCACATGAAAGCTGGCCGAGGGGCTCTGAGACCTGCAAAGAAGCAAATCTTGGCTGGAAAAGGGAAGAGCTGGAGCGAGGGACAGAGGCAGGTGGGCTGGGAGAGTGGAGCATGCAAGGTGTGAGGGCTGCTCTGTCGGCCAGCGGGCTCCGAGACCATGCACCACACTTCCCTGCAGATGTGTGGCCACGCATGGACAGGTGGAGCCCCTTGGGAGAGTGCCAATATGCGGCCAGCTAATCCACCGCCTCACCCCCCAGCTCCTCTGAATGCTGCGCTTCCTGTTACCTATACTGATCAGCGCCTGGTAGTTCCTCTTCACGTTGCGATAGCGCCTTTTCTCCCAGTCACCCATGGCAGTCCACTCCTCCTTGGAGAAGTACATGGCGATGTCTCTAAACGCGTCCTTGGCCTGAGGGGAGCACATCTCAGCACGCCGTGTAGGTCAGGGCGGCCTGGCTTCCCTGTGCAGGGTGTGCTCTGTTCTATGTAAAGATCTTCCTCCTTGGGCCCTGACGAACTGAGGCAGCACTGGCCATTTTCTGTTCCTGGCACAGGGCACAGCACTGGGGTATCAGGCCCGCCCGCCCCCATTCTGCAATCGCGCGGGAGTCCCTGCCAGCCCCCACCACTGTCACCGGCCCCCAGCCCGCCCAGGCGGTGCTGCCCGCAGCGGCCCCCCGGCTCACCGGCGCCCCCCGGCGTCCACCTGCGTCTCCCTTGGGCCTCTCCTCCCGAGACTGCGCAGGGCTCATGGCTGGCGAGGAGCCCTGGGCGCCCAAGCCTGCACCACAAACCTACAGGAGAGGCCCAGAAGGGCGAAGCCAGGTCAGTCGACCTTTCGGGCGGGCACCCGGGGAAGGAAGGCGTGACGCGCGGGGGCAGAGGCCTGTGGCACCCAGGATGCCAGCCCGAGGTTCAGACGTGCTGCGCGGCCTGTCCGCAGAAGACCCCATGGCGCCTGACGGGGGCGCTGAGGCCCTGGAGCGTGGCGGCGCCGCTAGCAGAGGGGTCGTGGACACCGCTTGAGCTGGGGCTCCCCCGGGGCTGCCGGAATGTCTGGGCGTCAGAGCGGGCTCAGCCTCTAGGGGCTGAGACCCCAAGGCTGAGGGAAGCGGGGGGTCCCAGGCTGAGAGGGTTTGGGGTTCCCTCAGGCCGAGAGAGATGCTTTCCCAGTATCTTAGGCGGTGGGGTCCCGGGATCTGAGGCTGACAGAAGGGGTCCCTCAGTTTAAGGGTTTCGGGGTCCCCAGGGGTTTAGGGGTGACACGAGGCCGGCAGGGCAGGGCAAAGGGTCAATGCGAGGCTGAGAGTTTTGGGGTCTGAGGAGGGAACTTGGTTCCTCAGGGGCCGATGTGCTGGGGGCTCCTCGGGTGGGGTGTCCAGGGGTGCTCAGGCTGGGGGGGCACGTTTACCGGGCACTTGGTGTCTGGGCGCTTGGGGCTGGTGTGCTCTGCTGACAGGCCTTGGGGTCTGGGCCGGGAGCGGCGGGGCCTCACCGAGGAGCTTCGGGGTTCCCGCGGCTTAGCGAGCGGGGTGTGCCCTGATGGCGAGGGGGCAGCGCCCCTGGGGCGGGGCTGGTGCCTCCGGATGGGCAGGGCTGCAGCCCAAGACGCCGCTGCTCTCCCCGCGACGCCCACGTTAGGCGCGGCCTCCGCCTCCGCGCCTCAGCGGGTCTATGCCCCAAGTGCCTATCAGCGCCGCAAGTGCCCGTCAGCGCCGCTCGCCAATGGGCTGTCGGGATCGGCCTGAGGGCGGGGCCCAGCAGGGGGGAGGGGAGGCAAGGCGGGGCCCAACCTGGGGCGGGGCGGGGCCCAGTCTCGGGGCCAAGAACAGTGGCAGGGGCGGGGCGGGGAGGGGGCGGGGCCCAGCACTGGGGCGCATGTCGGACCCAGCCCCGGGATGGGAGGGGCGGGGCCCGGCTTGGAGGTTTGGCGGGGCTGAGGCGGGGCGGGGCCCATCCCGGTGGCTGGAGAGGCGGAGTGGGTGGGGCCCATGCCGGGGGCGGGGCGGGGCGGTGTTGGTGGGGCGCATCCCGGAGGCGGGAGGGCCGGTGTGGTGGGGTCCATCCTGCTGGCAGGGTCGCCCCTCAGCCCGCGCTCCCCGTCCGGGTTTCCCAGAGGGCTTGGCGCGCAGGGCTGTCCACCTCGAGGCCGCCCCTTGCAGCCATTTTGTGGAGACGTTTGTGGTGTCCGTAGCTCCCCGCTGCCGTCCCCTCGGGCCTGGCGTCGGCTGCGGGTCCGGAGACGCGACAGTCCGCGGCGCCCCTGCGCGCAGCGACCCTGCCCGCCGCGCGGCTGGCGCGAGGAAGCGCATCCTGGGCTCCTCCCCGTGGCCGCCGCGGGCCCGTCGTCGCGCGCTCCGGCCTGTTTCCACCTGTCTGCGCGTCCCCAGGGGCCGTGGCCCGCCGCCCGGAGGGGAGGGCGGGGAGCTTCCCGCGCGGGGGCCGCAGCTTGTCGCGCCTTCTCCGCAGCTCAGCGCGCCCTGGCGTCGCCCGTCTCAGGCCCTAGGTCGGTTCCCCCCACGGGCGTCCCGGCCTCGCGTCTGCGGGGCGAGCCGCCCGCTGGCACCGGGCCGTCGCTGTGTGCGGGAACTGGTTTGCTGGCCCCTGGAGGGTTTTCTCGCCCGCACTTAGCAGAGATAATGGCGCCCCTTGTCTTTCCGTGCAGTGGCCTTGTCTGGATCGGCGTGAGCGTGGTGTGGGCTGCTGGAGTGCGTGAGGACGCGGCCCGCTTCCTCCACCTAGGGCGAGAGTGTGAGTAAAACGACTACTGGACACCTTCAGGCTCGGTGGAATTCGCCCGCAAACCCACCTAGTCCGGCCTGTGTTGGCGGTTGGGGTGGGGGATCTTTACTACGTGTTCCATTTCCGTAGTTGTCCTCTATCGAAGCTTTCTATTTCGTCCCGGTTCCTTCTGGGTGGGCATTATTGTTCTGAAAAGGTACCCGCTCCTTCCAGTTACTAAATTTGTGGCCATGTAACTGTCCCCAGTCATCTCGGGAGCCTCCGCATTGCCATGACGTCCGCGGCGCTTAGGCCTCTTTCCTGTCCGGGTCCACCCGTTCAAGGTTGCTGTTCTGATGGGGCTGACTACAGGTTTGTCTACAGCCCTATTCATGGGTGTCTGTGTCATACATGGAAATATCCTCTATTCCCATGTTGTGATCACAAGATTCCCATAGGACAAGGGCAGCTGGTTGGATGTCAGTGAAGAAGGGGACACAGTTTCCAGGTTTGCTCTGGGTCCTGTATCTGTTGTGTGCAACTGGGTAAACAGCACATTAAACAGGATGGCACTGATGACTGAGAGTCACTCGGAAAGTTGAGGTAACAGGAGTAATTATAAGAGATGAGCTGGGTTAAGGGAAGACTCACTGTTGAAACCCCTTGTGCAAGGGCAGACAGTATAGACGTGAAATTTTAGAATTACCAAATGAACTCCATTAACTGGGTGAAGAAATGCAACACCACACTGTATCATAATCTTCCCCTCTGAGTAAGCACAAATGTGTGGCTGTCACTATAAGTGTTTCCCTCGCCCTTCACCACAATTCATCACCTAAGTGTGTGTCAGTAACTGTAGACTTAACACATGCTTTTAATTTTGTCTGGTATTTAAAATTTAAATCAATCATAGTATGTTCATTTTATATCTGGAATAACACGATGTCTACAATTTTATATCTTTCCTCCTTCATTTAACTTTATAACAAGTATTTTTCAAGTCATTTAAAGCCATTCAGAATGATTGTACCTAACTGCTACATTTGTTTTATGTATATAGTGTAATATATTTCACTGTTTTCAGGGGTTTTTATTCAGATTGTTGCCAAGTATTTGTTAGGATAAGAAAATACTGGTTAGCATTTTACAAATAAAGATTTTTATTTGTGTTCAAAGCATTTCCTTAGGTCATTTGAATTACTATTTATTTTAATACATACACATGTATATAATAGTCCCAATTCTAAGATTCTAGATTCAGAGTCCTCTGCAGAAGGGCGACGCCAACTTGTTCTCTTCTCTGAATGAGCGAGAACCCCTATTTCAGAGCGTTCTTGCCTCCATGTCATTCTGTCTCCCCATCTTCAGGGCTCTGTAGGGGCAGGACTGGACATGGTGCAGATTTTCTGATCCCATGCAGACCGGGTAAAGGAGGAGTCAGAGTCCTCAGTGGGTTTTTGCAGGTCTTTTATTGGGGTTCACCAGGCATATGGCAGGCAGGAGTCCTGGGGGGCCGGGAGGCTGGCAGTCCTCCCAGCCCCCAGCAAATCCTCACTCTATCTGGGCTCTGGCGTTCTCTGCTTCTGCTGCTGCTTCTCTGCTTCTCTCTCGGCTTCTCTTTCAGCTTCTACTGCTGCTGGCATGCATCCGCTTGACGCTGCCCTTAAAAGCCCAGTCTTAGCCCAGGTGAATCCCATCTACCTGTGCCCACACCCTACTCCAGGTGCCCGCCATCAGGCATGCATTCAGGACCACAGGGATCCATCATCTATCCTGATGGCGGGAAGGCAGGAAAGCCTGACATTTTTCCTTACCCTACAGGCTCTGACGTCACACACTGCCTCTTAATGCTCCCCCTTCTGTGCGGGTCTCCCCTCTACCACTCTCTGGGCTGCTTCCCCCCTGGCCCGGCCGACCCGCCCCTTGGCTGCAGCTCCGCCCGTCGTCCCCTCCCCTCGCCTCCCGGCGCCTCCACCAGCCTGCGTCCTGCCCCGACAGCCCCGCCCCTCTGCACCACCAGGCGGCACGCACCGCTGCTGCTGCTCCGGCCCTGGTTCCCCCGTGAGCCTCTCCTTCCTCGGCCTTGCCCTGCCCCCTGCGTGTTGACATCACGACCCTGCGCGCTGACGCAGGAGCAGAAGTGGCAGAGACGCAGAAGCGAGGAGCGCCCGACCTGGCGGAGCAGGACTGCGGGGTGAGGAAGGGGAAGTCGGGGGGCAAAGCACAGGCGGGGGGAGCGCGCGCTGCCTGGTTTTCAGGCGGGGAAATGCGGCCTCGCGGGGAATCATGAGGAGGGCCTGGGGCAGGCGAGGCCGGGGCGGGCGGAGCGGCACGCCTTTTCTCTCCCTGTGGGGGGGCAGCGGGTTGTTTGGGGGGCCTCTGGCCACAGGTCAGTGTTCCCCAACATGTCTTTAATGCACATGGACACGATCTGCTGTTCTAATGGCTGCGGAAATTTTAGGGTAATAGCATTTTCAGAGATGTGGGCGCTTCGCCTCCGTTTCCGTTTGATTTTCTAAACTTCAGCTGCAGCAGGACGGGCGGGGGCGCCCCTGTGAGCACCCCGGGGCCTTCCCGCTTGCCCCTGCCCCTGCAGCCCCCGCCCCCTACACCCGCACCTGCAGCCCTGCCCCCCTTCCCTGCAGCCCCATCCTGGCCTCTGCAGCCCTGACCCTGTGCCAGGCTTCTGCCTCCCCAGCTGTTGGGCTCGCCTTGGCACTTGCTTCTCTGGTCTTGGGGTGAAGTCCTTGTCTGCGGGAGCCCGGTTTCTTCAGGAACCACCCCAGAGGGAGTGGAGGGTGAGAACATCTCCCTGCCGGTGGCTGATGCAGAGCGGTGAGTCAGGGGGCCCAAGACTGGGCGGGCTGGCTGTGGAGAGCTCTGCGCGGGTCATTTTGGGTCCTGGAGGAACATGGGGGTCAGGACATTCCTGAGTGTGACCCTGTGGGTGTCCAGTGCCCCTGAATGAAAGCTTGTCCCCCGTGTTTGCTCCCGGCTCCTCCC